TTTCATATGTCTGTTGGCCATCTGTATGTCCTCTTTGGAGGGGTGTCTATTCAGGTCCTTGCCAATTTTTTAATTAGGTTGTTTGTCTTCCTGGTATTGAGTTGTATAAGTTCTTTATATATTTTAGATATTAACCCCTTATCAGATATATCACTGGAAAATATGTACTCTCATTCAGTGATGTGTCTTTTCATTTTGTTAATGGTTTCCTTTGCTGTGCAAAAACTTTTTAGTTTGATGTAATCCCCTTTTGTTTATTTTTTTTTCTTTTATTTCACTTGCCCAAGGTGATATATCAGAAGAAAATATTGCTATGAGAAGTGTTCAAGATCTTACTGCCTATGTTTTCTTCTAGGATTTTTAGGGTTTTGAGTCTAACATTTAAGTCTTCAATCCATTTTTAGTCTTTAAACCATTCTTGTGTATGGTTTAGGAAGGTCGTCAACTTTTTCTTTGCATATATCTGTCAAATTTGCCCAACACCACTAATTGAATAGACTATCTTAATCCCGTTGTATGTTTTTGTCTCCTTTGTCAAACATTAATTGACTATAAAGGTGTGGGTTTATTTCTGTGCTCTCTATTCTGTTCCATTTATCTATATGCCCATTTTTATGCCAGTACTATGCTGTTTTGATTACAATGGCCTTGTAGTATAATCTGATATTAGGTAGAGTGATTCCTCCAATTTTGTTCCTCTTTCTCAGAATCACTGTTGCTGTTTGGGGTCTTTTATGGTTCCATATACATTTTTGGAATATTTGTTCTAGTTCTGTGAAATGTTCCTTTGGTATCTTCACATTGAATCTACAAATTGCTTTGGGTAGTATGAATATTTAACTATGTTAATTCTTCCATCAATGAATATGGCATATGCTTCCACTTATTTGTATCTTCCTCAGTTTCTTTTTTCAATATCCTATAATTTTCCAAGTATAGGTCTTTTATATCCTTGATTAAATTTATTCCTAGGTGTTTCGGGGGGGGTTTTCTGAGGCAACTGTAAATGAGATTGTTTTCTTAGCCAAGATAATCCTTTTAAAATATCAAGTCCATTTTCTTCTTGGAAACTTCCTCACAATAAAATATGCTGTCCTTCAAAAAGCTATGCACGATATGCCACCCCCACTACCACTAATGTGCGCGTGCGCGCGCACACACACGTACCCCTCTTACCTGCTCACTGACCCCTTCCTCTGATTTGCTTTCCTGTTTTCCCTGCTTCCAGGCACTCTTTGTCTTCACAGCCTGTGTGTCCATGCTTCTCCCTGCCTGAAAAACCCTGTCCTATATGTTTACCTGACTTGTTCTCTCCACTCGAGTCTCTGGGTAAAGCTCACCTTGTTAGCTACCACCACCCTCCCTGACCACATCTAAAACAGCACCCCATGACCCTTTAGAGGGTTATTTTCTTCCTAATGTCACCATCACCTAACATAGGCTTGTTTGTTTCTTGTCTTCCCCATTGGGAGGGTGTCTTCATGAGAGCAGGGCCGGATTCTGTGGGCCATGCCCTTTTCCACAAGGTCCTCACAGTGCCTGGTGCAGAGTTCAGTGGTTCTGCTGAACTCTGCTCAGTTATCCACTCCTGGTCCCTTTAGGACAGAAGTTTAATTCTGCTGGGCATCAGAATCACTGGGGCGCTTTACTGAAATGCACTTGCCCTGACCTCACCCCCAGAGAGGCGAACACAGTGGATTCTGCGGGAGAACCCAGCACATTTTTTATCAAGCCTCCCCGTTGATTTTGATGTCTGAGGTAACTGGACGACACTTGGCAAATGCTGCCTCATTGAACCAGTTTACATTTGTTACATTTCTCTGCTTGGTTGAATGTTGTTTCCAGTGAATCAGCAGTTCTTGAATTACCTAGGAACCTACATATAGATCTCTTAGCCCCACCCCAGATTTTGTGAATCAGAACTTCCAGGGATGGGTGCTGGGAATCTATTTTTTTAAAAAAAACCTCTCAGTGCTTCTGATACTGAGTCTGCTGGCCAGTCTTCTCACTAGCCTTTGGGAGCCCAGCTGTGTTTTATGGACTCCTTGAGGAGGTAATAAACTCAAGAGCAGGTGCTTTATGTCTTTTTGGGCCAGCTTCTCCCCCTATCCCAGGTTAATTCAACAGTATTCTGTAAGTATACTGTGGAGTGAAAATAGTATTTGCTAAGTCACTGTGGAGTGAATGCCTGGATTTATTCACAGTTTCAACTTGCCTTTGTAACTTGAGTATCAACCAGTATTTATAACTACATTTCAACCTTGCTCATGCTCGGACTAGAGGCAGGAAGTGAGTCTTAGTTGCCCAGCTCACCCTGGTGGGGATGTCTTTGCAGTCCTTGCTGTCCAGAAATTGAGAATGTGTTTCCCAGGTCAGATCAGACAGCACTGGGATAATGTCAGCCATGATCAGACTGAGATTCTAACCTACTGCACCTCCCCCTTGGACCTGTACTGGGACACATATGCTTTGGCTGTCCTCTACCTCAGGGTGCCTCCCTGGTCTCCAGAGCAGCCCCAAGCAGGGGCACAAGACCTGACCACTTGTCTGGAAGTCTGCCTGGTCTGCTCAAGCTGCCAAGGAGGGTATGCCTAGATTAGACTCCTTCTGGGGCTGGTGGCCTTGCCCTAGGAAATGACATTTCCAGAAGTTTATTCCTTGGCAGACTCAAAGCTAGCTTCCAGGTTCTGAGGACTCATTCATGCAGGCCCAAAGAGGTCATCTTGGTTAACCTGTTTCTTAAATACCCATGGGGTGCTTTGGATGGCCAACTGGTATCCTTTTGAATTATGTTGGTGTTTTTCTGTGTTCTTGGTAGAAGTTATCAGGGCAGAATCCAGAAAGGAGGAGTGTCATCAGGGGATGCCTGAGAGGCACTGGAAACCCCAGCACACTGTCTGCACCTGAGAGTTTTGCCTCTGGATAAGCCATGGATTGCATTTTGATGCCAGATGTGAGAGGCTGTTAGTAATCAGGATGACTGGCCTGGGAAGTCCGGTTCCCAGGTGGTAGTGCTTCCTCTGGAGGACTTGTCTGGGGGGCACCAGCGCTGCGAGTTAGTGACAAAGGGAATGAATTGACCCTAGACATGCAAGAGTGAGAGCTTTCTAATGAGACCTGACAGTTCAAGGGCCGAAGGAGCCTAATCTTTTTCTCCCTGCCCACCCAGTCTTCATACAAATGTAAATATGCCTCCTTCAACAAATTGTCAAATGTGGTTTTAATTTGTGTGAGTCCGCCTTGCCTCTTTTCTTTCTTCTTTCTCTTTCCTCTTTTTTTTTTTTTTAAACGAAGACACAGGTTTTGCACTTTTTGAACTGGACATTTCCGTCTGTCACTCCCTCACTTTTTCTGTTGTCCTTTTTCTTTCAAGGACGTTTCCCCCATTGTTTGTCATCTGAGGAATTTGGGATGAGAGGGGACCGTCCTGTTTCTTTAAGAAGTTTTTGAAGTTCCCATAGGAAATACATAGTGCTTTTCAAACTAAGTTTTACAGTAAATACATGAGAGTGTGATTGAAGCCAATATGAGGCTCAAAGTGTCACGATCACGCATCCCACTTTCTATGCTCCCCGCAGTATCCATTGTTGTTATTTATGACCCTGTCTGCCTTCCATTGTGGACTTCTTCCAGCCTTGGGGAATTTACATCATTCCTAATAGCAAAAGGCTTTCTGGTTCCCACAGAGTTGTTCAAAGCCTGACTCATGCTCCTTATGTTAATTGTTCAGCTCTGAAAATACAGCACTTACAGGGTGTGGTTGTAAGGGGAAAATCTACTGTACTTACAGGGCATGTTTAGAAGTGTTTCACACATAAATCTCAATCTCTCTCAATCTCTGTCATTTAACTTTCAAACTAGTTCTTTTTGGTCAACTAGTAAGTCCTAGAAGGGTGGGGGGGGGGAGAAATATCAAAATGCAGTATAATCCAAAAAGACCTATAATAATTTGTTCACTAACCCTTAAAACTGACATAAGTTGTACTGGATATGACTGGGTGACGCTGGTCCAGGTCTGAGACCATAGGCAGGGCTGTGATGGGATGTGGGACACCCAGGCACTCCACCAATGACTCTCCCAGGCTCCCTGGGGCTGTCATTGTTCATTCCAATGTAGGTCTAATGCAAGGAACTCATGATAATTTACCAAAACTGTTCCTGCGGCAGCAACATTTTCCTGTGGCATTTGATGGAGAAGGGTACTTGGTGTCCCAGAAAATGAGAGAGGTTAATGCTTTGTCTGAATTATCTATTTGCTAGCAAAAAGGGAACAATTCCAAAGTAGGAAATGAGTCAATATTGGTGAAGGTTGGGAGGTTTTCACACTTTATAATTGCTTCCTAATGATGCTTCTAGGGGAATATATAAGGATAGGTAGACAGATACTCTGTGAATTATATAAAGCCATAATGATGCTGTTCATTTAAGGAAAAAATAAAAACAACACTCCCAGTTTTTTAGTAGCTGAGATTCTCAAACTCTAGTTTTTAAAGTACCAGTGTTAGAAGGTTTACCTTGTGATGCATTCTTGAGTGTTGCAAAGGCCATATTCTGTATTTTCATCACAAGAGGAAATGTGGGGAATTCTCAGTATAATCAGGTTCAGACCACTGCACCACCAGGCCTCTCTGGAAGATCAGAGCTGGCAAACACGCTGCTGCCTGGCATCGTGGCTCTGGGCATCAGCATGATTTGGGCTCAGAGATACCGTGTATTGGCCAAGAATCCCCAGATGGTTTGGAATCAACATTCTTTCCATCACAGTCTTGTATGTTTGTGGTGCATATTAACGTATGAAGTGTGTGTGCTGAGAGCCCAAAAGAAGTGACAACTTACCAGAAAGTTGTAGATTTTAAAAAATTCAAATAGCCTAACACTAAGCGGTTTCATATAGTCCTCACAAAAATAAGTGTGTTCACTGGGAGGGTCAGAGCATAACGGCTTTTTCTCCTGTTCAGCTAATAGAGTTCTGTTTGGACCTTTGTTATCTTTTGGAATAGACGGGAAGAGGTCTCCACGGAGCGTCTGGTTATTTTGCTGAGTGTGCAGAGGGTCCACTTCCTCCCAGTGCAAAGCGCAAGAGAAGCGTTCTGAAAGCAATGTAGGTCCAATGTGTTTCCTTTTCCTCGTGTTTGACTGTCTGTGTGTGTGGATACATAACATGAAATGGCGAAACCAACAAGAGTACATGGAACTTAATCACAGCCCTTGGCACCAAGCCTACCTTAAGTCACATACTTGCTCTTCCACCTTCCTGCCTCTCTTTCTCTTGCTTTCTGGACAACAGGAACCAAAGCCTTGCTTCACAGGTGTGTTGCAAGGACTAATTAATTACAAGCGCTTTGAAGATGAAAAGCACCTGTTGGTGGTGTGTTTCCTACAACTTTCAGAGTGACTACAGACAGATCTAAAAAAATGCATTCCTTTTCTAAGGTGCTTGTTCCGACCCTAACATAATTATCATAATCCTCCTGCCCCGGAAAGCAACAGTACAAACATGAATCTATATATTTCTCTCCAGACTAAAGCTTAGCCAAAATAAATATTTCAGCTTCAAGGTTTTGAGTTCAGTGGTTTAGCAATTTCTTGCCATTCACAAGCCTGCAAATATATGTTGAAGTCAGTCTCTAGTTTCTAAATTTTTCCCATGAAGCTTTTATCCTGTTCCTCAAAGTAATTTTCAACCTGTGAGGTTTGAATTGTCTGCTGTGTATGCTGTAGAAAAGGTGCATGTGTGTGTGTGTGCGTGTACACACTCTTTTGTCTGCCATGTTTCCATTCTCTCTCCTTACATACTCTCTGGAATTTCTTCCAGGACATTTCAAGGTTTATTAACTGAATCCTGTTTCCAATGGTTAATAAGCAAGCCTTGACACCAGCTAAATGGTGCTTATATTTGAGTAATACCTTGAAATGGCCTGAGAGAAATTCCAGAAGATTATTTTACTTACAAAGAGAAATCGTGTGTGTGTCTGTACGTGTATAAGCATGTTCTTGTACACATACACATAGAGACACACATAAACACAACCTCTGCTTTGGATGTATTTGAGCATTTATTTTGGGGGAGGGAGGTCAATGTATCAAATTGACCCTTAATATCTGAAATGAATACCTGTCTGCCTTCGTTAAAATATGAACTCTATCAATAACCCAGCGATCAGTAAATAAAGTGTTTCCTGGTGTATCCCAGTGTGTTGGAAAAGGTGAAGGCTATCGCTTGATCCAGTCTGCAGTCAAACATACACTTGGGGATTCTTCTAGATTTGCCTGGAGATAGGGCGAAGGGGGCAGTGCATGCCTTCCTTTTTCAGGCGTAGGAAATGTGGTCGGGGAATTTGGAGGAAACCATGCCATTACAGCATTACAAAACAAAGTCTTTTTTTTTTTTTAGCATGAAAAGAGCTGAAACAAAAAGCAGCAGCACGAGCAAATCACAGGGCAGCAGGGACATTGTGGGAACATCGAGTGACTCAGTGGTTGCAGAGATGGCAGTGAGAAGAGGTGACAGCCAGGCTTCCTCCAGTGCCCCTCCGGAGTCCTCAGGGCAAGCAGAGGATTGCACACAGGCAGCTGAGAGCCACTGGGGGCTCTCTGTTCCAAAGCTGGAACATGTTCATCAGACCCAGCCAGAGGACACCGGCGGCCAGCACAAGCCTCATCCTGGGGCGTGGTTACAGACGGGGCTTCAGAGCGGGAGCGCTGTCTGGAGCTGTGAGTCAGCAGCACCGGGTCCAAAACAAAGCCCACGAGGAGCCCCAGCACAGCAGAAACGCAGGCCCCGCGGCGCTGCGCAGGGCTCCGACCACTGCGAGAGCGTCTCTCTGGGAAGTGATCGATTCCTCCCGCGAGAAATGAGAGCGGGAACAAGCAAAGCTGTCAGGGTTTTGCCAACATCAGAGCTGTCAGATCCGGGGTTACTTTTGAAAGAGGATTTGGCAAAAGCCATGTCTAATGAAGAGTTGCATGTTTTGGAAAATCTCTCCTCCAGACATCTTACGAAAATTGAGCCAGGGAAGGCCGACCAAACCGGCTCAGCCACCAACACTGAAAGATTAGCTACAATCCAGGGCAGCCCAACCAAAAAAAGGAAGAAGTCTGAAAGAGGCCACTGACTTACTAGAGAGGATTGCAAAGTTGTGGTTGAGGGATATAGTGGCCAAACCTGCGAAAAATGAGAAGTATGTGTAGATGCTGTGATTTCAAAGGAATTAGAATGACTTTTTTAAAAAGAAAACTGTATCTCTGTTGGGCTCAGCTTTCAAAGAAGTCACCTCCAGGAGCCTATCTGCTTGTTCTAACAACATGGCTACCTTCTCATCAAGTTGTGTAACTGCCTTCAGAAAATTATTTTAATGATAAACATCCTTTCGCTTTGTCAGAGACGACCCCCCTCCTGAAGAACTGAACGAAGCCCAGCCAGTGTTGCTCAGTGGTTGAGCATCGACCTATCACAGTTCAATTCCCAGTCAGGGCACATCCCTGGGTTGCCGGCTCAATGCTCACTAGGGGGCTTGCAGGAGGCAGCTGATCAATGATTCTTTCTCATCATTGATGTTTCTATCCCTCTCTCCCTCTACCTTCCTCTCTGAAATCAATAAAAATATTTAAAGAAAAAAAGAAGGGCATGTTGGTACTGGGTGCAGTGTAACCTCCTGCTCCTTGGCTGAGTAGGGGGGCTGTGAAGGAGCAGGCTGGTGGTTCTCAGCTAGTCCTGCACCAGCATCGTCGGAAAATGTGTTAGAAACACAGAGCTTGGGCCCCACCTCAGACCTACTGAGTGATTCTGAAAGATGCTCAGTCCGGACCCACCATACTAATTGGAGACTCCCTAGCATTTATTTTCACCAGCCTGGTGAGCGTGGCCTCCTGCTCATCCACTGGACCATATGTGGACACGTACACACTTGTAAAGCACCTGAACTCAGTGTGTGAGGCACTGTTCCTAGGTGTTATGGCTGCCACAGCACCCAGAGAGCTGTTACTCACCCTAAGAATCACAAGACCTTTCACAGGTAATTTGGTCCAGCGCTAGGAGACATGGCAGAGCCTTGTTCTTGCTTGTAGCTCAGGCCTGTCCCTGCCCCTACCTCTAAGATTGTGGTTAAGTTCAGGATGGACTAGAACCCGCGGGGGACCCCATGGCCAGTTTCCTGTTTCCCATTTGGGAGGCTTCACAGGCAGTTTAAGTTTCAAAATAGGAGTCTTTGATTTGCAGTCATATCCACTGAGCTCTCCAGTGGGCTGGCTGAAATGTCACGGAGTGACTCATAGCAACAACTTATTTTGGATGGACACCTACTAAAGACTTTCGTAACTGAATTCATTCTAAAATAGGGAAGAAATCATCTTCAAAGCACCCATCAACTACATCTTTTTTTCAGTTCAACATTGGGTGGTCCTTTGAAATAGCCCCTCCCTAGTAACAAGCAGAATCAGTATATTCCCCAAAGTGCTGGAATTCGCAGAAAAAGCCCAACAAAGTGTAAGAATATGGACGCAGACAGTGTAAGTCCATGCCTAAGACTAATCAGTGGTTTCTCTCAGTTCATTCTATCCTCCCCACATCTCCTTCCCCACTTGCATAGGCGGGGAAGACTCGCTAAACAGCAACCATTTTCCTGGTAGCATTTTCAGTCATGAAGTTCAGTCATGGTCACCACTCCTGTCTATGGATATAGATGCTCTTCCTTTGATGTTCCAAACCCTGCCTGAAGACCTGTCCCCTTCCTGGGGTCCCAGCCTCACCACCCCCACTAGGACCATGGCTCCGCCCACTAGTATCTTTTCCTCTTCCCCCCAGTTTATGTCCTCCCCCAGTTAATTCCCACGAAATGATTCTGTAGGAGAAGAGGGAGCCCAACAGAATGTGGACCACAGTGAGCAGATTCTGCTCATCAACAGGGCTACCCTGTACAGAACGCACACCTGAGCACGTGGTAGAGCGTGGATTTCTGTGGCCCACTGTGGGCCTCTCTCAGAGTGGCCAGGAAGCTAGGCCTGCTCTTCCCTGAAGACAGAACCACAGGGTGTCACTGAGGGTTTTTAAACAGAAACAAGTATTGGGATGGTTTCATCAGAGGGGTCACAAATGACCAGGTGATAAGCCAAGAAACAGTAAGCTCCCTGGAACAGTCTAGAATAAAGACAGCCATTCCAGAACAGTAGCTGTAGAACTAGAAGATGTTTGAACCCGAAGCACCAGAAAAAGTCTGTATTGAGAAGTTTTTATTTCATTAGTTAACCTGGGCCTGATGGTTAAAGTCCATTCTTATACTTTTAATGACTTTCTTTCAAGTAAAGTCTTGGCTTTAGAGTTTGGTGTATTTATGCAAATAACAGTTATTGTGATGCAAAAGGGAAAATAGCACCGTTGGTGGCAGATGGTCATGGTCTTTCTCACTGCCCTTGGGCACACAGGGTTTTAACAGGATTAACAGGCCGGCCGTCTCCACTTCCTCACCTCAGCATGTGTTTGGGGAGTTCTGCCTCTGAACGTTTTCCTTCTCCATGTCTGAGACCACCCCGGGGCTCCTATTACTAGAATGGTCATGTGATTCTTTGGATATTTGGCAGTACAAAAGGGAAAATGGCTGCCAGGTATTCTTGTTGCATATTAGGTGGGAAATGAAGAGTCCTCTATTGCTGGGAGTGGTGTGTGTTTTGTTATTTTTAATAATCTTAGTAATTCAGTCACTGAAAATCTGAGACCCTGTCAGTATACTTAGTCAAAAAGGGACAAGTCATTCAACCACTTAGTAATAACCCAGATTAAATGTATATTCAAGTCCCCGTAACTCTGATGCTTAGAAGAAATGTGGATCCAATTTGATTAATGTTATGACTTTGAACTCCTTAAGTTTCTCAGTGTTGTGACTTCTAGGCCACCTCCATGTGCTTTCAAATGACTTTTTAATAGATTGGTGTTAGGTATTGCTTTGTTTTGTTGTGGTGGTTATTTTTTTATGTCCATAAACAAGAAATGTCTGAGAATAGTCTGTGACTTTTCTTACACATTTTTCTTTCCTTTGCCAGTGGAGGTTAACTGTCCACCAGAGATGCATATAAATCATTAAATGCCAATGAGCAAATGTTGGGGGAGAGAGGAGTGAGTGCTGCAGCTTTTTTGTTCATATTTTTTTACTATTGAAAAAAGTAGGAAGATGTTTCTCATTTTGTAAAAAGCAAGAGTCACAGAAACCCTCTATGTTTTGATTTATGGAGAATATAGCGTCTCTGCATGAGGTATCTCAAGATATATTTTGGGGACAAGTTAATTTTTTGCTTTTTTGCCATATGTGGATTTTAGCGTGAATTGCTGTGCATTTGGTGGCCTTTGATTCAGAAAGAGCTTGCTGAGGGCAGAGCAGTAAGGGAGGGAAACTCTGCCCAGGAGAATGGCCTGGGACCACGGTGTCGTTGCTCTCAGTTTCCTCGCGTTCCTTCTTGGCAGGCCCCACTGTAGGATTTCCACAAAATTCTAGTGACACGCCCTCCTTTTGAGGTAACAAATGGCTTTCCTAAGAGCCAGTAACTCTCTGCCCAGCATGCTATGACTTGAATATGGAAGTCACTTTAATTTCTCTTTTTCTCCTATGGGGAAATGTCCACGCTTGGTCTGTTAAGACGAGAGAATTCAGTCCTTGTTACTGAAACACTAATGAATTGAAACACGTTGGCACAAGAAAAAAAAATCAAAATTAAGCTGATTTCTGTTAAATGGTTTAAAGCCTTCCTTGGTACAAAATAAATTAAGCATTGTCACATGAAGTTAATTCAGTTAATTACTCAGAACAAAAGTCTAACCATATATATTATTGGAATTACAATTTAATGATATAATTAAAATTCTCTGAAATCTAATTTAACAAGACAGGGAACAAATATATGTCTGTGTGTAACTTGACAGAGGGGACTTGAGTGGGTGAAATTATTGCCTCTACTTGTGGAGAACTACTCAGTACTGGGCTTGAATTCAATTACATTTAAATAAGTTTCATTAATCAGCATGATATTACCATGTGCTACCTTATAATTGCTATTACAGTCACTTATCAAAAATGTTGATACACTTGACCCCCAAGCATCATATCAGGAGACTGTAGGTAATGATTTGCCAGATCCCCAAAGTAACTTTCTTCAGTCAAGTTAGACAGCCAGACACTGCAGTAAGCCCAGGGGAGCTCTTCTTTAGCATTGGCCTTGTCCTCTCACTTGTTTAAGCGATTTCAATAGTTGTACATGCCCAGGGGATGAAAGCAGTATGTAGAGGAAATCAACCTCTTTTATGAATAAAAAGGAAAATTGTTTTAAAAAATTAAATTTGTATGTATCACTTTTCTTCAAAATAAGTTAATTAACCATGAGGACTGTACATCTAAAATACCCTTTTCTGAACACGCTATTTAAAATTACATTCTGTGTGTTGGAGACATTTTTTTTCTCCATGAAGCAAGTCTGAGATTTTGAATACTGGGTTAAAATAATCAAAGGAGCTCTGAGTTTGAACCATTGGTCCTAAAGATTTAGATTTTAAAAACCCTGTGTGGGATGTGATTAAATTGGGCTCTAAGATTTGGGGGTGGTCTTTCCAACTCAGATATTTCCCACTTCTGCTCTCAATTGTGAGCTAAGATAGACCCTCGTGTGAGGGGTTAAAGAATTCGACCTTGATTCCTTTCCAGAGAATCTTGACATTTCTCAAGGGGATTCATTTCCATTTTCTACGTGGGTCCCATCCTTATTCAGCACTGAGTGAAGTCCTGGCCGACTCCCACTGCCTTTTATGACAGGATCCCAGGCCTCTCTGGTTGCTTGTAAATATATTTTCCCTCGGGTCCTGTACATAATTTTTCAGACGCATTTCAATATCAGGTTGGAATAATACATTTGAATAACTGCATGGAATGCTGAGAACTACGGCAATGGATGACGCAAAGCCCATTTCCTCGTGTCTTGGGTGTGGCGGCGTGCCATGTGGCCTAGCCCACAGAGAAGATGCCCTGCCCAGGGCCCCAACCTGGGCTAGGGATCAGAGCCCGAAAGATGGGCTCAAATTCTGGGTCCAGCTGCCTCTGCCACTGATTGGCTTGTGTGTTTGGGGACAAGTCATTTAACAAGTCCTGGGCCTCAGTTTCTTCATTTGTCAAATAAAATGATCTCTACTATTTTAAGTGCCACACTTGCCTCTGAGGATTCTGAGGTAAACATACAACTCCCATGTGATAATTTCTCCATCTGTTTAAAAACAGGTTCACTGGAATTACCTGTGTAGCTTCTACTTAAATCAGAATCCTTGAGATAATGGTCTGGGCATTGGAAGTTTTAAGAGGTCCTCAAATAATGATTCTAACCAAAAGCCATTGTTGAACTATTGCATAAAAATGTAGTGGGGTGTGTGTGTGTGTGTGTGTGTGTGTTCAAATGGGAGTTCCATTTTTAACTTTTTGAGGAAATCAAATA